TTTTGCAAAAAGCTCAGACGTCGGAAGCAGAAACTCTTCCTGAAAAAATATTCAATAATAGCTTGTAAAACTTTTTTAAGCAAAAAAAAAACTGCATTTGCGGCAAAATGCTGCTGCAATAATGAACTTACAATGGTCCGTTTGCAAGCATCGTTAAAAGTTTTTCAGTGTCCCGAAGAAATCTTTCTTTACCCACATAGGCACCCGCAAATTGCTCGGCTATTTTCCCGTCTTCATCAAGAATTTCTATCTGAAAATGCTATTTTTTAACGCTTGTTAACCCTCATTTCAAGTGGTTTTAGTGGTTCAGACAATATGTCAGGCTGTGAGTGGTAGTGACATAAAACTTGAAGGGAAATGAATAATTAAAACTGTCAATCCTAGCTTTCTATACGGCCAAAACACAAAAACAAATTCCCCAATACATATATAAAGACCCTCATTTCTAAGACGCATTCGTGGCCTATATTCTGACACTCATCGAGAAATGATTAAGGAGAAATACATTCTGACATGTGTGTGACATTTTACGGATGTGAAACGTGGAACACTGCTAACGCAGAAGAAAACAAGCAATGACGCACTGGCCATTGGAGAGGCAAATGTTCAGCATCAGTAGACTGCAAATTACTAGCAACGATGTTCTGCTGCGAAAAAAACTATATAGGAAATGTGTGCTACAAGAAACGAGGCCGCTTATGTGGCAAGGAAGGCAAGCAAGAAATAGACGAAACGCTATTTGCATTCACGACATATCAAAACGGCGGTTTGAAAGCCACCGATGCGCCAGACCGTTTCAGAAAACGGAGTTTTTGGTGTGCTCGAAGTCAATGGAATGGTTGCCCGCTACACCTTTGGAGAACATCTCAAATCTAGGCGGGGTCCAGGATGGCTTCCTAGCGTGGAAAGTGGGGAGGGGGTGGGAAGTGGGGTTCCTGGAGGAGGAGGCGACGGAGGGATGTGGAAGAGAGTTTTCTTCAGTTTTACCTTTAAACCCGGACTTTTGTAGCACTGGTGTCTGTGCTGTGGCGGTGGGGGGAAAGGCTCGTTTCCCCTCCCCCTCCCCCACTCCCTTTCCCCCTCGCCTCTCCTCCTTCCGTGGATCCGCCTATGTTTCGAATATGAATCTGTGTTAAACTAGCAATCGTTCAAATCTCAAACAGTAAGTATGATTAATAAATGATCGAACTCACACTACATATATTTTACACGCGAAAAAGACAACAAAATCATGCATTTTTGATACGACTGATGATAAACAAAAAGAATCTTACCACACCGTTACTTCTTTTCAGCATATAAATTTTTTCGTATTTCGGCAACGGACTATCCAGACCCCAGTGATCGTCCGGTGGCAGTGGTGGATTGTACGATGTTTGCGCTGCTGCAAAACTTCATCATTGAAACATGCTTTTTTAATGCCAAAAAAAGGTTAAAAGTTGAAAGTATAAAAGTTATGCGTGCAAGCAAGAAGATGGCTGCTAGGAACATCACTCAAAGAGCAATCACAGTGTTGTTAGCCGTGCAAACAAAGGCACCTGACCAGCGAGGCAATTCCCTCATCGATTTCCCTCACTCACATGCAAAAATTAGTGCAGGAGGCTAAGCAGATTAGTATCTCATCAACACCTTCCGGGTTACTGACAAGAGAAGACTAGGATGTTGACAAAATGAAGTTGTCTTAGCGGTGTAGAAGAAATTAGAATAGCAAGGTATTTAAGCGTCCACTGTTCATGGCCCTGGTTACCACCCTCCTCTGTTCCCTCACAGAGAGTTTGAGGCTCGTACTATCCCTTAATTAACGTATGCGTGATTACTGCAGAGGATTTCATTGTGAGAAGTGCCACAATCCTAGATGGAAGTACAGAAAGGTTACATACACGGCGCTGAAAACACTCATAGCAGTACTGCAACAGAACAATCTATAACGAGGATAGAAGAACGAGGGTCATTAAAGTTTATTACACATTTGCAGTCAGCTTAATTTTAACGAATATCGTAAATTTAAAATATTTTCTTAGATGGCAGGGTATCCCATCGTGATGCAGGAATGATAAAGTTTGGGATGAGCGGTGATGCGCAACAAACATTAAAGATACCCAGAAATAGCAGAAGCCCTGGAAAGTCTTCCTGTCGAAAATACCGTTCCACAGATAAGTCTTTCAGGAAATGAAACGGACTACAGAATCACCGGACTTTAGGCTAACGCTGACTACTAGTCAATGCAGCATTGGTCAAAGTAACTGGGAAACTCGCTAGTTATAAAAACGGATAACCAGACTATTTATTAGCAGCTAATCGAAGAGTTCCAAACACTGTAAAATTAAGGACAGCTCATAAATGCCTTTTTTCACATTCACTCCTCTCATACTCACTTTATCCACGCTGACTAATTCAGGATTTTCCAATTATTTACAAAATTACCAGTACGCAATATTTTTACTTTTTGACAAAAATTTCGAAATTATGGATTTTTATCTCAAAGGACCTATTATGATCACATTTTTTTTTCTAATCCATGTTATCTAACATACTGTACTCTAAGTATGTGCTTAACAGTGTAAGCAAATGTCGTTGTTGTGGAAAAGCACACTGCAAGAGAACATAAAATGGATAACGAAACTGAAGCATCTGTGCCTACGGTCAGTCACCCTTCTCACCAAGACATTACAGTGAGCTTGTTGAAAAACATAACTTAATGGCGAACACAGGAAAGTTAATGGAATAAATGGAAGAGAACTCGATTTCGCATGAAAGCATTATTGCAAAAACAGTCTGAACTCTATTTTTTCCGGCTGATGCAGGTTAACAGATAAGACGCTCAGATGGGCATAACGAGTAGGATGGTCCTTCAGCAGCTCCATTAGGAACAGCTACTTTTGTCCGCAATATGACCGACGGAACATGTTGTACATTCAGGATGTAACTGGTACATAAGCGTTGGCAGCTTCTTCAGACGTACAGTTTTTCTACAGCTCCTTCTTTTTGTTCACCTCCGCATCTCCAAATCTCTTGTAACTCAATTTAAAGCTATTACAACTCACTCAAAATCACACTCGGGCAATTTAATCTCATGAAAATTTTCACTGAATCATCGGTTAGCTGAAAAACAACTCGTGCTGTTATTTGCCTATGCTATACTGATCAGCAGCTACACCTACATCACGTCGGTTACCTTTTGCAGCTGGCCTTCGGTCCAGCTTCATTGATGGCAAATCTTTGGTGACATCATAATAAGGCTCTTAAAACTTACAACATTTGGTGGAAAAACACATTGCTGAAAGAGAGAGAAAAAAAACATGCAACAATATATATCCATTAGTGAGGCATGCGTTCCTGTCGTGAACGGAGCTCTTTTTTGAAAATTGTTCTGGG